CGTTGTATTTTTCCAATTCAATCAGATAAATATTGTACATTATCAAGTTACCTGACACCACGCAGAAGAAACACATCCCCTGTCTCACTTCCCATAAACGGAATTATTTTGTGCGTTTTCCTTTCCTTTCTCCAACTTGGTTTCCAGTTATCACTCGCCTTAGGTTTCCATCAGCACACTGTGGCCTGCCCAACTTTGCTATAACGGAAGCAGAATTTCCAGTTGCTGGTTGCGGATCCGACAGAGAAGAGCCTTTCAGACTCATCAGCTGCCCCTGCCTTTTCCAGTTCTGTCGCTTCTCCAGACTGTTTTTTTTGTTTTGGCCTTTTGGGGTTTCAACACGCAGTGTTTGCTGCCACCCTGTGGTAATCTCCAGCGGATGCCAGCTTCAGCTGTACCAGCGGCCTCACTTTCTCAGATCCCCGGGTCTCCGCTGTCCTGGGTAACTGAGCTCAGGCAAATGCTGGCTCTGTCCCTCCCAGTTCTGAGCAACCGCAGTAGCGTGGTCACAGTTAAGAGACAGGTCTGGGTGCAGGCCTTTGGCATCTGGTTTCGAATAACTCTGCAGCCTTGGCCCATTGGGAAATTTCTCTAATTCTCAGCTTCCACTTCTGTGAAATGTGGCTGGCGATGATGCCACCTTTCTAGTGCCACCGGGAAAATTCCACGAGCTGATGCACACAGAGGCTTTAAGCCAAAGTGCCCACCTTCTGACTTGCCCTACTATCCTGAGTGAAGACGGTTTGTCACAGGCTATGTGTAAAATATGAAATGGAATTGATCTAAGTAACTACACTTCTTTTTTATATTTTAACTTACAAAATTATTTTAAAGACAATACAAGCCCAAGGGCTGGCAAGATAGCTCAGTGGATTAAGCATCTGCTTTGGCAAGTGCAGGGACCAGGGTTCGATCCCTGTCCCACATGCTATGTCGGTCCCGTCCCCAGGGCGTGCTGAGCAGGTGGCTGAGTCTTGGCATGGCGGTGCACATCCGTAATCTCAGTGCTGGGGAGGCTGAAAACAGGAGGATCGTTATGAGTCTGAGCTGCATAGTGAGACCCTGTACCAAATACATAAAATTTAAAAAAAAATACAAGCCCACACTTAATGAAGAAGAAAGTGTACATGTCTGCTCAATAACCATAAATACCTGTCTTCACATGCACATACACACAAATAGATTCAACCCCAGTGTAAAAAAAAAAATCACAATAATGTTAAAAGTTTATAATCCTGTCAGAGCCGTGTGTCTAGCTGTCTAGGGCCTCATCCTGCCCTTGAGCCCACAGGTGGATCTCGGTAACAAGTCCCGGACACCTCTTCAGTTTATGGTGAAGATGAAGGTGATACAAACCACCTGTTCTCAACTCTGCACCCAAGCAGGATTCCCAGGTGGCCAGGCCACTCTGCAGAGACTGATTTTAGTGGTACCAGAGTAGGGAAGGAGTTGCGGGAGGCAGTCAATTAGCTGTGTAGGAAGATATTTTAAAAGCTCGTCAGTAATCCTAATGGAAGCCACTGGAGTAAGTGGCTCCAGAAGAATGAGGACTCATTTGGAGACCACTGTAGTCTCCACTTCTTCCGGTGAGTCAACCACAGCCACTGAATATTTTCTGTGAACAGAGTACAGGTAGGAATGAGGGGGGAAAAAAATGAAGCTGGTGGTCCCTGAACCGCTTACAGCAATCCAGAGGGAGAGCCCCGTGGCCAGGGATGGGTAGTACCTTGAGCACTTAAGGATCGCAGCCTGCAGTGGTGCCTTAGCTTGTGTGTCTCACCTTGTCGCTCTCCGAGCGATTTCTCCAGGGAGGAAGGAGCGAGGTAGAGCAACCACGGGAGAGGAAGGACAGTGTTCCGGGCAGCTGTACAGAGGAGAGGGCAGTGCCACCCACGAGTCATTCCCTTCCCCACGGCTCCCTCCACACTCATACTGCCAGAGCAGTGCAGTAGGTAGGCCTGGCCTGCCCTCCCACCGAGACCAACATTTAGTCAGCTGTGCATCCAACCCCCAAGGATTTGGGTTAACAAAAATATGGTATAGAAGCCGCCGTAACAAGTGTGAGTTTTGAGGATTTTTTTGGTTTATTTTTTAGGATGCTATTTTTTGTGTCTTGCTTATCTTTTTTAATATTTATTTATTTGACACAAGGTCTCACTACGCAGCTCAGGCTTGTAGCGATCCTCCTGTCTCAGCCTCCCCAGCGCTAGGATTACAGGCGTGCGCCACCATGCCTGGTTTAGGCAGCCAGCGCAGCATGTGGTACTGGGGATCAAACCCAGGTCCTTGCGCTTGCCAGGCAGGCACTTAGACGCCAAGCCATCTCCCTTGCTATCTTGTTCATATAGCGCTGCATTTTTCTTGAGTACGTAAAACCGTCGCCTACGCACATAGATCCACGTGGGCTCTCCAACCGGAAAAGAGTGGTGCTGCAATGTGAATGGTGTAATGCATACGCCTGCAACTGTTTGGAAGTGTGCTGGGAGATAGCTCTCTCTGGGAGAGGAAAAGGATCTAGAGAACACTCAAGATGAAAACAGATTTTTTTTTCTTCCATCTATGAGTTTCTGAAATGTCTGCATTTTTGCAACAAGCATGTGTGTTTTCTAATTTTTTAAATGCTAAGAAGAGAAGTCAGGACTCTAACAAATACCTTGTGAATACATGTTGGCAACAGGTTTGGTGGTGCATAATCACATGCCACGTGTGCCGGTGTGTGCTGTGCCCACACATCAGGACGTTAGGGCTGGAGAGACAGCTCGGTGGCATAAGCGCCTGCCCAGCGAGCACAAGGTCCTGAGTCTGATCCCTGAAACCGCACGCACACTTGTCATCCCAGCACTGGGGAGGCTGAGACAAGGAAGATCACTGTGAGGCCAAGCTGCGTAGTGAGACCCTGTATTGCAAGAATTTTTTTAAAAAGGATCTGAATGTTACACATACATACTACGCCTGTGTCATGGCCCTGTGTAATGCACACATTAACAAGACATGCGCGTACATTCACAAAGTTACTTTTGGCTTATGTATCACTAATTTCTATGAAAATATGTAAACCTTTATTGAAAGAGCAGATTCTCTCCTGCAGCCCCCTAAAGCATTTGTGTACAGCAAAAGACACTTGACATTTCTGCACAGCGGAAATAGTGCCGTGTTTTGCTTTTGCTTATTTCCCACTAACACAGCAGATAATGGAACCAGAAATTCCTCCACTGGAGAATAGTCTCACCAGAAAAGTCCTGGGGAAAAAATATAAGGTGGAATTTTATTTATTTGGTCACAGTACAGATTTTGGATACATTTATATCCAAGTCCCAAATTCTTAGCTTTAAACCTTCACCCAACCGTTTCTTCAAAGACCCTGTTACTTTTACCCCAGCACAATTTACACTAGCCAAGGATAGAGCTGTCCTTAAGGCCTACCAGTGGGGGAATGGATAAAGGAAACAGAAAATACACACAATGCAATGGTATTCAGTCATAAAGAAGAACACAAGTATGTCATCCACAGGAAAATGGATAGCCCTGGAGGTCATTGCATGAAGTGAGACAAGCCAGGTTCAGAAAACACCTAAGATATGTTTTCCCTAGACTCTGGGCTCTGAAGAACATAAGACAACATGAAAGTAGAAGGAAGGGCATAAGAGGGAGGGAGGGCAGGAGGTAAGGACAGGTCAAGGATATAGTAAGAACTGTGCTGCCTAATTTGACAAAAGTTCTTTGCTTCATATTTTAGTTAGCTTATCCCAAAGTAAATTGGAAAACAATTTTTTAATTATAAGGATAGGATTTCTTTGCCTTGTCAGTGCCCTATTAATTTATTTTTTTCTGTTAATTGAAATATTTGTCCTATAGATCTCAATTCTAACACAGCAGAAGAACTGTGATACTAAGTATTGGTTTATGTCCTTTAAGTGCATTTTAAGTGAACTTTGGAGGCAGAGTCAGGAGGACTGCTGTGAGTTCGAGGCCAGCCTGATCTACATAGCGAAACTGTACCTCAAAAAGACAATCAGGGCTGGTGAGATGGCTCAGTGGTCTAAAGCACCTACTTAGAACAAGCTTAGCAAAGCACAGGGACCGCGGTTCAATCCCCCAGCACCACATGCCAGCCAGCCCCGCCCCCTGGTGGGCTGAGCTGGCCACACACACACACACACACACACACACACATAAATAAGTAAATTAAAAAAAAAAGACAATCAACCACTCAATCAATCAATAAACAAACTTTGGAGCTCATAGCGAAATGTAGAACCATTGTTATTACGGACAAAGATGGGCAGGAAATCAGGAGAAAGTGGTCAGGTACAAGGCTGCAGTTCTGTAAGATAAATGAGTGTAGAAAGTGAATATACACAGTATAGCACCATTGTTAATGTTATGAGGACCACATTGCGTACTGGAAATTTGTTAAGAGTAGATTCAGGTGCTCTCACCATTAAAAAAAAAAAAAAAAAAGATAACCATGTGAGAAGATGGATAGTTGTCTTGACTTCAGTGTGTTATGTGTATATACCATGTTTTGCTTCCTAGGTATACAAGATTGTAAAATATGTGAGTGAAGTTAATAATATATAAAGTACAGCTCAATAAGTCTATTAAATACTTCCTAAATTCATCTTGAGTGGGGGAAATCCTAACCTCTAACAAGAAGCTGGTGCCAGCCCTGCACCCAAGCGGGGAGGAGCCGGCCACTGAATCTAGCATGGTGGCACATGCCTGTAATCCCTGCGCTAGGGAGCCTGAAAACAGGAGGATCAGTATGAGTCCAAGCTGCATCGTGAGACCCTGTACCAAATAGATATAAAAAATATTTAAAATTAAATAAAGAAGCTGATTCCTGACTGAGGACTCCTTTATTTTTAGTAATACAGACCACCAGACTCCAGGCAGGGGAAGGAACCGGAGCACAGAGGGCTGGAATAGAGGGCTTCCCAGAGCCACCTGAAATCCGCTGGACTTTGGTGCTACCAACTCTTTATCTACTGTTCCCACAGGAGGACTACAACCAGCTGAGGCCGCTGTCCTACCCCAACACTGACGTGTTCTTAATCTGCTTCTCTGTTGTCAACCCCGCCTCATACCACAACGTCCAGGAAGAATGGGTCCCGGAGCTGAAGGACTGCATGCCTCATGTGCCTTATGTCCTCATAGGGACCCAGGTTGCAGTGTGGGTGATTGGGGGGAGGGGCATGCAAACAAGCAGGCTCACCACAAACCTCACATTCTACCAAACATGAGGGAAGTCTCACACACAAATACTCCTTTGTGCAGAAGTCCTTTAGAGGTTCACGATTATTCAGCCCACAGTTGAAAAGATAATGGAGCTATTTCACGTGGAGCAGAAAGTTTTGATATGGCCCTGAAGAATTAATCTCCCAAAGAAGTGTTTTCAAATTGACAGTCTTCTCTAGCTCTGCTGAATCACAGCAATGAAGGGATGCTGTCAATTGCACATATTATCTAACATTTTGTAGCTAGAATCCACAGTTATTTTAAAAAATCACAAAATAGTTGAGTGTCAAAATGACCCCAGAATGGGCATGTTACAGCAGGACTCCAGAATAACACTGCCAGAGAAGAAAGACAGAACTGTACAGCTCTATTCCCCTTCAGCCCCTCAATCTTCCAGAGCTTATAAAAGAAGTTAAAACACATATACAAGATAGACAGACCTGTATTGGAAAAGCCCTTAAAATGTTTCAAAAGCTAATAAAATTTCACAGGTTGAATTTCCAGCAGTAAGCCAGTTGCACAAATACATTAAAGATCCTCCCGACTTCGTGGTCTTAAATGGATTTTTTTTTCTTTGCTTTTTTTAAAATCCAAATTACTATTCCAGGAACAATGAAGGGATTTGTAGTGGTCTGTTTTATATGCTGTTTCTTCGTATTTCTTGTCTTACATTCTGCTTGACAAATGAAATTTTTCAAAATTAGGGAACGGAAAATAATTTCTAAAGAAGATGTGGATAGATACAGGGTAAATGTGTTCACTCAGAAAGAAACAAAGTAGAATACATACAGCCATAAATCAGAGTACGATTAATGCTTCTTCTCTGAAAGATAATCACTTTTTTGTGTAAGTGAAGTAAGCCTTAATTCCAGATGATAACATTTATCCATACCGACAGAGCCTGGATCCTGATGCTGAAATATGTGCTGCAACCCTCAAATGCATTAGTGCAATTTGAGTCTATTTTTCAACCAACTGGCCTTAAGTTGAAAAATTAAAGCCAAAAAAAACCAAAGCCATTGCTTAGTAGAAATGAGTATTATGCTTATCAATGGGATCCTGACGTATGAATATATTGTTTTTTCTTTAAGACACAAGTCCTGTGTGCTCACACTCAGATCTTATATAGTGACATTGTAAGGCAATCAAATAGTAAATTCTCAAACCTAATGCATCCTACTTTCAAATCAGCTCTACCTTTGAAAAAAGTAATGTCCGTTTGCTAAGCAAACCCTCTCTTTGCGACTTACCCTCCTGAGCCTACAATATATTTGTTAGGTGGGGGGAAATTCTGACTTGGAAAAGCAAAACAAAATAAAGCACACAAACAAATAAGATGTATCCAGATACAGGAAATAAGCCCTAGATAGTGAGTAATATAACCATATAATTTGGAATCAAAAAGCTATCACTAGAAGACAACGTGAGTATCTGATTCTCTTGTATGCCCTACCAGTGAAATCTAGAAATAAACAAAAAGTTCCAAAAACAACAGACAGAACTGGAATCATTAAAGGAAGTCTTCAGCACCCAGGAGGGCTGCTTCAAAGGAGAAAATACAAGGACATCCTGGTATGTCCGAGTACAAAGGAATCACTTAACTCTCTCAGACACAACACGGGCACACGTGTGTGCTCTCTTAAGGTTCATCCACTTCAAAGATGTCCAAGAGAAAAGAAACCCTATTACAACACAGCTTAAAATGACTAAGAAGGCTTCAAAAAAATAAATAAGCTGATCATATGTGTGGTTTTTGCTAGATTGATCTCCGCGATGACCCCAAAACCTTGGCCCGTCTGCTGTATATGAAAGAGAAGCCTCTGACTTACGAACACGGTGTGAAGCTTGCGAAAGCGGTAGGTCAGGTCTTAATTTAACTTTAAATGTATGTTGACAGAAGAGTGGGGGGTGTGCTTGGGAATGGGCAAGGTGCATGGTTTTGCTTTAAGAATCTGTTGCTTTCAATTCTCCCTGGCTCAAGAAAGGCTGGAAGGGTCATGTGGTTAGCATTCTTGTAAGCTGGTATTGTCTTTATCATTAGGAAAGAAACTTGGTGAATTTAAACAGCTGGAGCACTTAGCACTGGATTTAGCAACGTCTAGAACACCTCTGTGTTCTATATATACTGTGAATTAAGGGGGGCTTCAATGTGTATTTGTAAATCTCACTACCTATGAGCGCTGTAACTCATTTAAATGACCCCACGTGCAGCACTTTGTGGTTTTCTTCAGAGAGACTTAGATGAGCACCTGGCGGGGTTCTGTTGGCTAGGATTTCTCACCACACAATGAACAGCCACTCACAGGTTAGCTGGTGCTACATGTGGCTCACACAAACGTAATACACACCAACAAGTAACTGCCTGGGAAATGTACGTGGCTGCTGGACAAATTCTGGCAACTTGCTCGAAGCTCGAGCTGTCTGCATAGCCTCTTCCTTCTTCAGAGCCTGACTGCATACTGACTTGGTTGAGGACACATTTCAGAAAGCATTTGCCGGGCAACAAATTTTTGCCTTAACGCAATCACCAAGGTATGAGCGAAACTACCACTGAAATAGACGTGAAAGGATGGCAGTACGTTACCCAAAAGGAGGCTTAGAAACCACATTTCCATAACTTGGATCCATATCCTCATTGATTTAGTCACAAATCTATAACCCAAAAAGAAGACTTTAAAAAAATTATAAAAAATAAAAATAAATAAATAAGTAAATAAAGACAAAAAAAAAAAAAAAGAAGACTTTAAATTTTTTGTTTTATTTTCTAAGTAAGTAGCCCTGCCAAATGGAAGTCCTGGGCAGTCAGCGCAGCCCTCTCTATGCCAGTCAAGAAGGATAGCAACTACAGTCTTCATGAACAAAGATGGACGTGTTTCTCTTACGAAAACCTGGTTATAGGCACAAAGTTAGGATGATGCACTTGGCTAAAACAAATTAAATAAAATTTTGGTTCTGTGGGAGCAGAGCCAGGCTGGGCACGGTGTTGCACGCGGAAGCAGGAAGATTACAGACTCACAGGCAGCCTGAGCAAGTTCCTGAGACCTAGTCTCAAAATAAAATGAGAAGGGCTAAAGATACAGCTGTATTCCCTAGGTGCAGCTCCCAGTACACAGGAAGGGAAGGAGGAAGTCAGGTCCGGCCCAGCTCTGTGAACTTTATCATCATTGTCTAATCTGTCTCTTTTCCAGCCACGTCTTTTTCTTCCCGGAGACTGAGTCTGTATCTCTGGTCCTTCTACCCTCTCAAACATTCAACCCGACCACTCTCGTTAACATACATAAATGCCCAGCTCCATAAATAACTGCACGCTTCGCAGGAGGAGCTCCGGGCTGGCCTGGCCCCAGCTCCCTGCAGGACCTCTGGCTCAGTATTCCATGCTTCCGGCCTGTCTTCCACCTTATCCTGTCAGCTGGGAAGTTGTTTTTTGTGTGTGTTTCCCCACACACACACCCCACAATCTAACAAGAAGTCGCTCCAAGGCCTCCCATCTCATTTCAGACTTCTTTGGGAACAACGGCTGCGCTCACCGCTTTATTGCCAGCTTTTGCCAGCTTCTCCTAGCAACTGCTCTCACATACAGAGAGAATCGTGTTTAGCTCACCAAATCCAATTTAGAAGAAAATCAAGCAAGATTTTCCCTTGTTTCATCACAATTCCTGTAATTACAGAGATGTTTTAAGTTTCACTACTCTTTGACTTCGCCGTCAAGTAGTTTATAATAACAGGCAGCCCGTTGAGGAGTGGTTACAGAGTGCAGGCTGCAAGCTGACTGCCTTGCATGCGTCATCTTAATTCACGCCCACAGCAACTTCTGGGACTGTATATATGATTATCACCAACTTCCTAGGGGAAACTGAGGTACAGAGAAGTTAGGGTCACCCAGCTCGACAGTAACGGAACTAGGATGTGATAAACAAGTGCCTCTGCCTCCCAGCTATAATCTAAAAAGAAACCCTACGGTTTGGGGCCTTTTTTAATATGCTGAAGGTCACATTTTATTTTAAATTTATTCATTTGGTACAGGGTCTCACTATACAGCTTGGACTTATAGTGATCTTCCTGTCTCATCCTCCCCAGCACTGGGATTACAGGTGTGTGCCACCATACCCAGTTGCCAGTGACCCAGGGTTCCAGGGCCAGCACAGCCTGTGGTACCGGGGATCAAACCCAGGTCCTTGTGCTTGCCAGGCAGGTACTTGGACTACCAAGCTATCTCTCCAGCCCTGAAAGTCACATTTTAATATGCATATTCTCCCAAAAACTTCAGTGCTTTCACAAATTCAGAGTTCTCACATCTGTCCTTCTCTATTAAATGCTTCTCAGTCTACCATGTGTCTTTCATCTATCTTTTCTTTGTGGTCTCAAAAGGGCATTTTGTTTAAAGCATGGTTTGGGCCAGTAAGACAGCTCAGCGGTCTAAAGCACCTGCTTAGGCAAGGTTAGGCTAGCATTCAGGGCCCACGGTTCAATCCCTGGCACCACAGGCTACCCAGGGTAGGCTGAGCCAGCCACACACACACACAAAAAAAAGAGGATGGTTTCACAGTGTTCATGGTTAAATAATTCTTTATATCCAAAGGCTGGGGCTGGGGAGATGGCTCAGTAGAATAAGTGCTTCCCTGGCAAGAGCAAGGGTCTGAGTTCAATCACCAGTTCCGCCAAAAAAAAAAAAAAAAAAAAAACTCCATATTCAAAGGCAACCCCATTGGCACAAATATTTCATGTCAATTTATAAGAAGCAACCTTTGTTTTCTCTAGCTTGATTTATCATCCCCCTGATGTATGGTTTTTTATTCCCAGCCCACACATCTGTAAACATCCGTACTACTGCTAGGTTTATCTGATAATTGATTAAACGCCTCTCACGGCCCAGGGGCTCCTCTGTGGGTTTTCGTCTTCTGAGCATTCTCTTTCTGAGCTCCATCTATACAACCACCACGTGAGTCTCTAAGTTGGGGCTTCCTCAGGTACTTCCAGGCACAATACTTTCCTACCGTTCTTTTTTTTTCATCTTTTGCCCACTCTTGTCACCTTCTTCACCAGGCGACTTTTGCTGTCATCACAAGTGGAATTTAAAGCTGCAAAACCTGGTCATCAGTGTTCCATGATATCGATTACCTGGAGTCTGAGTTGCTCCTCTTGAATGAAGGAGCTATGGGGCCCATCCTGTTGCATGTATTGCCATCGTCCCTGTCCCAGGCTGTGGAAGGCCAGCACCTCACCACTTACAATGGGGTTACAGAGGCCCATATGCAAGGGCAGGAGGGCAAAGAGCAAACAGATGTGCTGAGCTGTTGGATCCACCTCAGACACTACAGTAGCAGTAATGTGGCTGAGGAGAGTGTGACAGATACATTTGGGGCAGGAGGGCTCAGAGATTTCCTGAAGCACCTGATATCAGAGCCAGGTGCTATCAAAGAGGAGGAGAAGCTTATCAGATGGACAAAGTTAGGGGTCTGGGAATAAAGTCCCCAAACAGAGGCCAATATGTTCAAAAGCATCATTTCAAACACAAGGAGTCAACCAGCAACCTGAAGGGCCAGATTTACCCGTAGATATTTTTTTATTATTTATTTATTTATGTGGGGGGGGCAGCTCAGCCCACCAGGGGGTGGGGCTGGCTGGCTTGTGGTGCTGGGGGATTGAACCCTGGTCCCTGTGCTTTGCTAAGCTTGTTCTAAGTAGGTGCTTTAGACCACCGAGCCATCTCACCAGCCCCTACC